TGTTCTTCCAGGAATCAGTAAGCCTTTTTGAGTTTGAACTCATACTTTTGCCTTCATGATGAAGATGTGCAGTTTAGAGGCATATGGGGAGTTATTAGAAAGCTCTATGTACTCCACGGCCTCTAACTTTACCACAGAATCTTCCTTTGCCTTAGAACCAAGTGCCAATAGTTTAGCTTTAAAAATTATATTTGTAAGAAACATGAACTCACCAAGCAAGCTCCCCTCTTGAAGTTGGCTCTCCTCCACCCATGGCCCTAACAACAATCACTATATCCTTCAGCAGTCTGCTTCATCTTGTGACTCTGCCCTTCCTCCATTTTAGTTCTACTCCTTCCAGGTGAACAAGCATCCAAATGAATCATAGTTTCCATCCTTCCATTCAGTCTTTGAAGTCTTTTTCAGTACCTCAGTTTCCCATTGATAAAATGGGGATAAAAACTTCCCTGTCTCATATGGTTATGTCCACAAGTAAACATTTTGGAGACAAAACTCAGGTACTACACTGAAAGGATGTGTGAAAAAGCCTCTCCCCATAAGCACATGCCCTCATGGCTAGGCATGGTAGTAGTTTACCGCCTTTGGTGTCCTCCGAATTTGCAGTGATTTAGCCCTCTAGTTGGGTCACTTAGTCCTGCTCCTTTCAGGGAAACCAGAATCCAACATACCAATGGCCTGACATTATCACACCAGAGGTTCAATCCAACTTCAGGATTTTGGGCCTGCCAGCCCTTGGCACCAGGGTCTTCACATTCCCGCCCTAGATGGTCCAGGAGAGGAACCCAGAGCCATCCTTTTCTCCAGGCTGCAATCAAGAGACTCTACATGAAGCAAATGGGGTTTATATGTCCAGAACTTCTGCTGGATTCCCAAGCTGCTTCCTCTCATGGTTAGGAGCTAAGCATTTCTCACAGCCTCTTCTCCAGCTGGCTCATCTGCAAGTTCCTGCAGAGAGGGGGAGGTCCAAATTAATTTAGGAACAAAAGTAACATGCTATACTAGGTCTACTTGCCCCAAGGCAGCTCTGACATTTAGGTGTGTCTAATTAGATGCTAGCCTTCACTGGTCCTTCCTTTCATGAAGTCACTAGTTAGGCTCTAGCCCTAGCCAGGCTTTCCCTAATAGGGCTTCATTAAATTATATATTTCTTCCCACATTCAACCATCACTAAGTTAGGGTTTTCTTCTTTTATCTGCTCCCTCCATGTTTGACACCTTTCACAGGTTTAACAGGGTGGGGGCGGATGGAGCTCGCGGACTCTCAACCCTTTTTGGTCAGTGTGGTGGTCTTGGTAACATGGTAACATAAGTATTTTGGTAGATATTTCAAAGACTACTTCTTTGTACCCATATTTCCCTCTGATATTTACCACAAGATGGACTACAAAAGTTATCTAACTACAAATATAAATAAATGGTCCTTGTTCAGGAAATAATACTTTCTAGTCTGACAGCACAAGTTAGTTAGCCTTCAGGGTATGCTGAAAGGACTGTTTCCTCAGGGTTTTACTTGAAGTGATTTGGAGAAGGAGGATATGTGCATTGTAAAGGAGCACACAGGATTTTCTATAATTTAAATTAGTTTTTGGGAGGAGTGAAAAATGGTTCTATTTGCTCACTGTGTTTTGTATTAACAACAAAGTCTATTTCACAGGTGCTTTCAAATGGTAAACACGTTTAATACATTAAAAGTAAACATTCTCAATAATAGTAGTAAAGCAGATGATATTTCAAACATTAACTATATGGCAATAAGTATGACAATAATATGGAGAAGACAAGCATTATCTCTACACTGTGTCCCATAATGTGCAGATGGCCCTGGTTTTGTTCAGTCACCAGCAGTTCATCAAGTTGTGTAGATACAAAAAAAAAAAAAGCAGTCAAACATTAAGGTGAGGTAAGTAGTGTAAAATCGTAAGAGAGATGGATGGATAGTTAGAAACTAGACAAGGATTGGACAGGTTCTCAATGTCAACAAAAGGTTTATTCGTACCTGTGTATCAAATTGGCACCATCACCTCCATGAAGAGAATGCAGGACAATGTAGCACTTTAAAGACTAATAAGATGGTCAACCATCTTGTTAGTCTTTAAAGTGCTACATTGTCCTGCATTTTGCTTCAGCTACCCCAGACAAACACGGCTACATTTCTATCACTATTCTCCATGAAGAGGAAATTGTTAATAAATCCCACTCAAGGGAATATTAGCTCACCACTAATTTTCACAAACCCTACTGGGCATTGATCTCTGCAACAAGTCGAACTTGCCACCACCTTGCTAAACCTTTACATCAAAAGGTCATATGTGGTTAAAAGTCAAATCCACCTATGGTAGCAAATTAATTCACAGATCTTGTTTAGATACTATCCGCCCAGGGTGAAACGACTGGCTCCAGCATGGCTGATTTTCTGTTCAAAGATGGAAAATTGCTCAGCGCACTCAGTTTAATGAGACTCCTCAGGCTACAATTTTGATGAACCAGTCTAAAAAATATGTGTATAAATATGTACAGTCGCTACTTGTCAAATAACTTTTCCCAGCAAAAGAAACAAGTTTCAAATAACAGAGATATGATCTATTTATTTGGTGAGGTTATATTCTACTTGTTTAATTAAAATACAAAAGTCTTTGAAGGGAATTACAAGATGTTGAAAAAAAGAAACAGCTGAAGTATGTAGCATTAATACTGAACTTTTATTAGGCTTGTCAGTGAAGGGAGACTATCTCTAATAGCAGCAAATAACCCACAAGCATTTTAAATGGATTAAAATTATTTTTTCACTATCCATAAGAGTTTTCCTCCCTGACAACATGTACCCATAAAAGCATTCCTTGGCTACAGTGGGCACCCTTAAGAAATTACCTTAAATCTTTATCTCTTTATTTGCTGTATTTTAGGTACCTAGAGTATGCATCGGGAAGTTTACACAATACAGTGCACATTGAAGTAACTTCACTTAAGACAAATTTAGCATATTTTGAAGTGTAACCCTTCTATTGATATTTTATAAAAGGAGGCCAAAGAACAATTTCTAAATCCAGAAATTAGCCAAACTTTCAATTACTGGATCATGATGGGTTTCTCTTTCCATGAGTAATTGTGTACATTATGGACTTTTGCCCTGTCCTTCCTCTAACTCCCACTAACTTCAGGGGATAGACGAGTTAGTCTGTTACAGAAAAAAACAACAAATGGTCTGGTAGCACTTTTTGTTAGTCTATAAAGTGCTACCAGATCATTTGTTGTTTTTTTCCCATTAACTTGTCTCATTCTTTGTTTCCATCTGATACTAGTTTTTACATTAATCTGGGCAAGGATCGTGCCATTTCCTATAGATGGCTATTGGATTCTTGGACTCTGTAAAATCAAACACTACTACTGTTTAAGGTTTGCAGCTGCTGGACGTTTTTAAGCATATCAGAAATCCAGTAGAGTCCTATCTCAGTTTAAAAAAACCTCCCTGGAATGGAATGTATAGGATTTTAACTGGGGCGGAGAGGTGGCTGCAGGTCAGTGACTTTACATTTATTTTCGCCCTATACGTCTGCAGTCTAAACTCCCACGACAAGCACACTCCCGATCGGGTCTCCCACTCCTGCTCTCTAGGTTTACAAGTATTGAGCCCTCTTTGGAATTTCTTTCTGATTGGCTAAACCAATGTTAGTGACATCAGTCAACTTACTTTCGATTGGCCAACTGGTTGCTGGGACTGTAGGACTTTCAGCTAGGCAGTTAACCCGATAAGTGCTGCAAAGACAAACTTGCAAACCTGGTAGGCAGGGAGGGCTGATCGCTTAACCCAAAGGGAAGGGATTTAGCCCAGCTGGAAGGATCATGAAGGTGCAGTCAGAAGAAGCTCGCTAGAGAGTTTCATTCAGGCTGGCGCTGCAGACTAAGTTATGATGCTGATCTGTTTTTCAGGGCTCTTCCTTCATCGCCCTTTTAAATCGCAGCATTAAGACTCCCGGAGTAGCACGAGGCATTGGGAGGGAACATTAGGATTGGCCGGGCTCCTCGTTTATAGACACACCTCTCATGCAAAAAGGCTCTTCTGACTGGAAGGGGGAGAAGGTAAACAGAGTTGAATCACCCTCCCCGCTGACCAATTGGTGGGGGGCTTGGAACCTTACGTGATGGGATTCTGCGAAATTGTTACTGAGCAAGAGCATGCCGGAACAGTGAGGAGCTGCAGGCGAGGGGGGAGTGGAGCAGGCAGTGGGCAGAGGGGGGGCGAGTGTCTTGTAGACCTGGAGCTTTGTCTGCTATTTCAACAGAGCGTCTTGATGAGTGGGTGAATGTGCAGGGAATTCTAACGAAGGGAAAGTGGCTGGGTGCATCTCCTGAGCAACTCCTGCGATTTTGTTGGGGCGGGAGGGGGGGGACACACCTTGAGTCCGTTTAAAACGCTGAATTACTTGAAATCACCACTAGTGACAGTATTTCCAAGAGAGCCTTCTTGTAGCCCGTCAAAGTGCTCGTCATTGGGATTGAATTGAAATCTGGAGTTTCTGGTGATCACGGATAAGGGGGCTAGGAGTGCGAGAAGCCCCAGTGTAGCACCAGATTGTGGATGCTGCTTTTGGAGTCATGGATTGTTATATAAAAACCAGTGGCTGAATTCGACTCCTTGCTTGGATACCAACGCACAGCGCCCCACCCCCTCTACTGATCTGAGAGGCTGAAGGCACCCAGTGTGCTGAATAAAAAAACCCGGGGGGTACGACAGAGAAGTTTCGGTGCCTGGATTTTGGTTCTCTGGTGGTTACTTGTCTGCAGAATGTCAGCAGTTGCCTACATGGATTTTGTTGCTGCTCAGTGTCTGGTTTCCATTTCCAATCGCTCTGTGATACAGGAACAGGGGGCTCAGGATGCAGAGCTACTGAAAATGCCTGATGAAGAAGTGACCAAGGACCTAAATGACCCCAGGGATGCCTGGAAGGATTATTGCACATTGGTCACAATTGCTAAAAGCTTGTTGGACCTGAACAAGTACAGACCCCTCCCAACCCCTTCCATCTGCAGTGACAGTGTAGAAAGTCCAGATGAGGATGTAGGATCAGACAGCGACGTGACTACTGAATCTGGGTCGAGCCCTTCCCACAGCCCAGTGGAAAGACAAGATTCTGGCAGTGTGCCCAGCTCTCTCTCTCTTCTCCACAGTGGAGTGCCTGCAAAGGGGAAACTATCCACTGAAAAGAGACACAAGTGTCCATACAGTGGATGTGGCAAAGTCTATGGAAAATCCTCCCATCTTAAAGCCCATTACAGAGTGCATACAGGTTAGCTGTGGTCTCTCAATTACAGAGGGGGGATGTTGGGGTTAACCCAGTGGGTGACCAGGGCAGCATTGGCTATTTAAGTCATGCTTTTAAGTCATGAACATTAACCTCTGTTCTTAAATGCTGAAAATATAGACACATATTTATGTTAAAAATTGATTGTCCTGATTTGAACTCCTTAGAGATTATTTTACTATTTAACGTGTTTTCTCCCATCCTCCATTTTTGTCTCTCATCCTTGTTATTAGCTGTGAATGCAATGGCTTTCTGGCTACATTCAGTCTATGAAAGCACAGTGTGTTACAGAAATTGCATGGACCATATAGGGCAGAAAGGAAAGGGTGTTCTTGTGATTTGTCATGTTATTAAGATGTTTTTTTCCCCCCTCTTCCCTGTATCTGTGACACTGAGAGGATCAGACCAGTAGAGGAGCTGTTTAGACTCAAATGGTATAATCTGCTTCCATGAGAGTAGCAAGAATTAACCAAAAATTGCAAGGAAGCTGCACACCCATAGGCAGTAAAGCCTTTTAGGGAATTCTCTGTGTTCGTCCAGCCTTATGCTTGTTTTTGTGCTTGCCAAACTGCATTTACATTTGGGCAGGAGCCTTCAGAGAGTTTTAAAATAACATTGCTTAGTACAACATAGAATTTTTGACAAGATAGGGGATAGCTTCTGACTAGCTACTTACCAAGTCAGATTTCAGAGCTTCATTTTATTCATCCTGTGTGTTAGGACCTGTCCCCCTGAGCTCCGCTATAATATTAAGGGCGTGGTCAGTTTGAGGTTGTGGATTGATGACGAATTTTATGAATTCTCATAAGGAAACATGTAAACTATAACACCTACATGAATCAGAATGTGAAAGATCTAGTAATGAATGAGCTAAAATATGAAAAATGGATGAGGCCAAAGGCAGGGAAAACTCCAGCTTTAGAATTGTAACCATCCTTGACAAGACAAATACACTTTGATTAATCAGATATACTGAAGGAAAGTTGTTAGGTGGTTATAATTCTAATATACCAGTCCATCTTCTATGTAAGCCTCTTAAATCAGACCTGCTGGCATAAGGCTACAGCACACTGGGTCGTAAATTATGACAGCCACCATCACTATAGCCATTTCTTTTACAACACTGCTTTTACAGCAGACTATTTTTGTAAAGGTATTGAGCATATTTTTAATGAACAAATGCTTTTAAATAAATGCTTTTTTTCTCCAATAAGCACAGCAAGAATAGAGGGGCAAATTCTCTGCTGATGTAAATGGGCACACTTCCATTGACTTCAATGAAATCTTGCCCATTGATATTAGGAGAGAAATTGGCTTATTTTTAAAAAATACAAGCACATGAGTCTGATACATACTTAACAAGGAGGACAGCCGTTATTAAAGATCAGATGTAAGGTAAATCTCAACCTCTGTTAACTTTCAAAGCTATGTGCATTCCATCAGCTTTACAATTTGTGTTTTGATGGCACCTGTTCACCATCATTATTTTAGTCTGTTCCCATGAGGGGAGTGGATGGCTCAAAATACTGGTAATACAGAGTTACAGAGCTATTCATTTTTTACAACAGTGTTCTGAATGCAGAATAGGTTGGTCCTGGTAAAGGTAAATTATCACATTATGGCTGGTTGGGCCTATATGGAATTAACTGGTTGTCTCAGTCTAGTTTATAGTGGATGAGTTGCCAAACTGTGTTCCCTTTCTCTCTCACACAGAAGACAAACTCCATCATGACAAACTGACACCTTTATTGGCAAACTCAGCAGAGACCAAGGACTCCATGGACATGGAGTGAGGGGAAGATTTTCAAAAACATGTAGATGACTTAGGACCCAGATCTGTGAATTTCACTATTTAGGTGCCAGTAGCATTTTCAAAGTTGCCCCTGAGCTGCCACCTCATTCCATAGATGTCTAAATCTCCTAACTGCCTTGCCACTGACCAGCATTTGCAAAGCTACCCCCCACAGTTAAAGAGCTGCTCAGAGCTCCAGCCCAAGACAAAGCCCCCAAATGAGATTAGAGGGGGGAGGCTTGTCTTGCCAATGGGGTCTGGACTGATAGGCATGCTCTGAACATGTCTGGAGACCTGATACCTGTTAGAATCAACAGCTGAAACAGGTCATCAGTAGGTGGAAGAGCAGCATAGTGCCATACAAAAGACACATGGGGGTACAGAGAATGTAGAATGAGTGGGAGAAAGGTATCAAGCATGAACAGGGGAGGAAGTGAGAGTGTTTTGGTTGGTAGGACACTGGCTAAGTGGCTGATCTGGCTTAGGTGCCTAACTCTAGGAGCTGTTGACTCTGACTGAGGGTCCTGATTGGCAGAACCCAATCTCTAAGCCAGATGCACCAGTCATCAACTAGTGCCTAAGGGCCACACCTCTCCTTAGCATTTCATTCCTGGCTAGCTTAGACAACTCTCAGTTCTGCCGACTGGCTTCTGAAAATCCCTTCATTAGGTGCCTAATTCTCCCCCTGCATTGTACAGAGCATTTCTGGCTGTCTGCTTGGGGTTTTCGCTGTCAGACACTGAGCGGAGCAATACCTAAATACCTTTAAGGATATGGGCCTTAGTCCCATGACTTCCCAGGGAAAATATGCTCCCTATCATATCACTTGGCAATTTAAAAAATGTTACCCTTAACCTAATTTTTAACCACACTCTACAGGTGGCCTATTTAGGTGGGGTCGGGGGGACAGGACACAGTTGGGTCAAATTGACAGGGCAACAAGGGGACTACTGCATTAGTTCCATAGAGGACATCGGTCTTCAGTAGTGTCACAATGGTGTTTTTCACCAAGACTAAGTTAATAAGACTGTATATGCTACCTCAAGTGGGTGAGATAGTATGGCAAAACATTAACCGGACAGTAAAATAAATAAATAAATAAATGTTTAAAAAAGATCTGCTATAGTAATTCAGCTGTCCCTACACACCCCTCAAAAATTATAAAGATAGTCATTGTCAGCTTTTTAAAAAAACCGTCATAAGTCCTTTTAATTCATGTCTGGATGAAACCATTGCAACACATGTACATTGCAATAGTAGACAAAGCTGGTGCACAGGACTGATTAAAAGTTGCTGTAAATAAGAGTTGTGCATAAGTGCAAGACTAAAGTCAGAGGACACCAACATCACCAGAAGTTGGAAGTATACCTTCCAATCATATAGTATCTCTTTTGTAGATTACTTGGTTCTTTTCTGAGCTTTCTATAAAATGGTGGCAGTAGGAAGAGAAGAGATTTTTAATCACAGAAGATCTACCACAGGGCACTGCGGTAATAGTTATGCATGAAGAGCAGTTTTATGAAAGAAAATGGCTAATTCAGAATTACAGTTAAACTCCTGTTGAACAAGATTTCCCTTTAGCCTAGCAATACTACTGTACATTACAATAAGGTAGACCTGAGTTTGATTACCTGTCTTGTGCTCTCCATGCTATAGGGCTACTCAGCTCAGGGAGGACAGGTGGACAAGGAGAATGTTGGCATGTCATTCAACAGCAGGTTAATTAAGGAACCTCACTGATTGCCTATAGTACCAAGGAAAGGAGTGCAGTCGTGCTCTAACTTGTTGGGCTGGTAATAATGCCATAGAACCTTATGGAGAAGGAAAGTTCACCTGAACTCCTAGTTATCTTCCTGGTAGTGAACTTTGTGGATTTCTAAGCTTCAGAGGTGAACTGTGTGAAGAAAAAATACTCCATTTGCCCATTTCCAGCTCACAGATACAGATAGAAACTTGAGAAAGGCCTAGGAAGGGAAAGCCATTTATCAAAAAACTAGATTTAAAAAAAAAGGCCCACCATTCTCAGTCCTTTAACCTACCCTAGGGCCTGTGTGGTGTCTGACCCGTTATTTCATGTCTAATACATAATCAGAAATATGGTAGCTAAATGTAGGTGAAGACTTGCAAATTTGTGGCTTGCAATAGACAAAGGAAATGACAGCATCTTTCCAATTTGTTCCCAGAAATCCATCTTGTTCTGATGTATATATCAGCTGGCATATTGCATTCTGCATGCTGACATGTAAATTAACATACTACATTGCTTCAAAATTCCTATCATTAGTTTTGTTATAACAAGTCGGTTTTTAAGTGGAATAGGATTTACCTAGGCCAGATATGAAGTGGATACCCATGGAAATCTAATAAAGGTTAATGCTAATAACAGTATCGTTTTCGGTCATTAAATATGAATATAGCTGAATATTTGTGGTGTAGGGTAATAAGCTCTCAGCTCTTTCCAGTGTAAGCAGAGTTACCTTTAGCTGATAGAATAGTAAATGATACTCATCAAAAGAATTACTTCATGAATGGGAGAACTGAAAAAGCCGTGTGTAGCCTCTAAGTTCACCTAAAATCTGTACTTATAAATCAAGGATTACTCCAGTCCTATCTTTGGAAAGGGAGCAAAACAGATAAGTCACTAAAGGAAATCAAGACAATACCCCCTAGGCAAATAGGATTCTTGAACTCTGCAAACAATTATAAAATGCATGTAGCAGATTTGAAGTCATTCCAAGAGTGATACATTCCGTAGCCACAGCTATGTATTTCTGGATTGGATTGACCAGGAATAGACATGACTACACATTATAAAGTTAACTATCCATCTTCAGTGATTCATTCATTCAAAAAAGTTGCTGTCCATCATTTCATGAACCCTTAAAATCAGCCTGGCATTTCTAATGTGAACTTGCTTTCCTAGGCAAAGATTTGATTTCTCACTGCCTTTGCAGTCGTTAGCACTCTTAGTTAAAATAGATCCTCATCAATAGTTACTGGCTGCCATTGTAAATATTGAATGTTTATCTTATTCTGTCTTGAAAAACGGTTTCTGAATGTCTACTCATTGTACCCATGGTCTGTGTCTTACTAATATAAATATCCCCTTTCACTCATGTATACTCACTAAGTAAGTTAAAAAAGTTTAGTGACTACTTATGTGCATGTTGTATTGGTGTGAAATTAAAACCACACTGGCACATGTTGTACAAGCTGATAGAAAATGAGGGATGAAATACCAGACTAAGTTACAAGAAGAGGGAACTACAGATCAGATAATTATTAGTAACATGCAGACTCTTTTATCCCCTTAACTGCTAGTTCAAACCAGCCCCTCTTGCAGACTCCAAAAGGAGCCATCTGAGGACTGGATGCTTATGGCCTGTTTCATGACTCCTGCTCAAAATTAGCTTGACAATTAATATTTAATTTTGGTGATGTCTTGGATTTTGGACTGAAACCCAAGACATCACTAAAATTAGTATTATGAATTATTTCTTGTAGCACCTATGAAGTGGTTGGGACTTTTCTGATGGAAGAGAGAGCCTGACCATATTCTTCAAGGATACCACAATCTAAAGACTTTCTCTCTGCCTTGAGGCTACAGGAAGGATGCAGTACACATACAATTAATCTTTAGAATGTGCATATATACATATAATGAAAATAGGATATGCAAAATTATACCCAAACTACTTTTCAGACTTGATATCAGTGGTAGCTTTCCCAAAACCATCATGACAGAGGTCAGGCTTCAGGAGAGACTTGAATATGACAAGGGTACAGTTCTTCCAGATAAATGCCATAAGGCCATACCATGCACAGAGAGTAGCATAGAAAGCATAGAACCACATAGGAGATGCAGTTGCAGACAGATGGGCAGTCAGGGCTGAAGTCTCCGGTGCAGAGGAGAGTCCAGGTGGAAGTGGGTGGATGGTTGATTTAGAGTAGCACGGGGCATTCGTTTGGCAATACAGAGTCTTTGTTGTCAATTTATATTGTTAATGAGGGTAGAGCTGGGGCTGAACAGTCTTTTTAGAAAGTTTTAATTAAAATATATATCTGAAAGGTGAAAGAAGGAGGGTGTGAACAAGGACAGCCAGTAAATGGACACATGCCACATGGGAGAGACCATCACCACTAATTGCCAAGAGAGGAAATGAGAAGCAGTATAGGTAGCAAGAGGCTAATTATGTGGGCTGTCTGTTATAGGGTTAGAAGAAGCCTCAGTTAGGAACCCTGTAAGGATGTTAAGTATTGAGTAAATGACTAAGTGTGTATCGAGTACACGATTAGTTGATAAGGGGCCGCTGCAGCTCTGCAATTTAAATGTAGTAGGGGCCAGGCGTGCAGGCAGTCCAGCTCCTACTACATTTAAACTGCAGAGCTGCAGCGGGAATAGGTCTAGGACCCAGCACGAGCCAGGACTGCTTCAGTCCTGGCTTGCACTGGGTCCCGTGCTGCATCTCTGCTCCTCCCCCTCGCACTGCAGAGACACTGCTGGGGGAACTGGCTTTTAAGCTGGCTCCCCCAGCACTGGCTCCTGCTCCCCCTCTGTTTCCTGCCTCTGATATAGAGGCAGCAGGGGGGGAGAATGTGAATAGTCAACTCAACTACCCAATAAGCCTACATTTATCGGGTAGTCAACTATTCAACTACTCTTTTATATCTCTAGAAGCCAGAGAGACTAAAGGTCCTGAGTGCTCCATGTAGCAAGGTGCACTTGCTCCTAAGGTTTGGCTGATGATCTTTGTATCAAATATTCATAATGAACAAGGATTTCCCTGTATTATAAGTGCTTGGAAGATAAGATTTCCTAGAGAGTGCTATAAAGTGCATGATGAGGCATACACATTCTCTGCCTCCTCAATAGGGCCTTAGAACAACCCATGTCAACAGGAGAGTCAGAACCAGTGCAAGAGATTTGTAATACAACAGCAGTTATGCCCTTAAATGCTTCCTTTGACATTTTGCCCTTAATGATATTCAGTGGCAGGTTAAGGGCAGAGACATGGAACCACAGATCTGTATTCTGCTGTCCGGAGGGAAAGCTTACAGCAGCATTTCTGTCACAAGAGAAAGGCAACTGATTGATGCCACAACACAAACACTGCACCAGATAACCAGGCCCCTTACCTCTTTAGGCTGCTCCTGACTTCGTTACTTTCCCATTTATTTTCTGAAGTATCCCAAGTTTGTCAGAGACAATACAAATGCGTATTTTAATGGGCAGTTTGGAGCATTCATTGTCTTTTGAGTTTAAAATGGAAACAATCTGAAATCTAACAGTTTAAGTTTCTTAGTCGAGACACGTTACACAGGTAGCACCTTTATAATATGGCTGAAGATAACAGTGGTCACAGGGCATCTTGATAAAAATGTGTGAAACCATTATTCTCAGGGATTTATACAAATGTGAAAGTTTGTATTGTTATCAGAACAAATGGACAGGTTTTCTATCTAAGAGAAAATTGTCATATTTGATAATATTTGATTACATTGCTTGAAAGGCTAGTAGATTTTTGATGCTTTTTTGTATTTCAATTTTTAAAAACCCAATAATTAAGTATTTAATTAAATTTCTCATTGGGAAAATTATTAACCAGTGTTAGTGGTCACACTACCCATCACAGCAAGGAAAAGCACATGTGGAAGGGGAGCGGAGAACAACAAAGTGGCTGGACTTCAACTGCTTTACTTTCTCCTTTCACATCAACAATGTAACTCCTGTTGCCAGCAGAGGACATATTGGAAGTGTTGATTCTAAGGAGTTATTGCACCCTGTTGTGCCTTGGTATTGGAGACCACTTAGTATATTTCTTTCTCACCTGATTTTGTCAGTTCCTGTGCAGAACCATTGGGGTTGCTGAGGGGAGTACATTCCCCTTTAGTTCAGTGAACTGCAATATCGCACCATCCTCCCCATTCACTGATAGAGCTGCCAAACCTGAAAAAGCAGAAAGTGTTGGGGAAAAACCAAGTTAAGTTTAAATGGCCAAGTCCTAGGATAGCAAGAATAGGGCTCATTTTAAATTATCTGATGTTTGTTTTAACCCTGTGTTTAGATACCAGGTCACACTCTTGTATCTGAATGTTCTGAAATATCATGCTGGCAGTTTTTTTGGGGGAACCAGAATGGCGTTCCAATACTATCGCTAATTGTAAAATAAACTAACAATAGTGGTTATTACCTTCATTCTTCATCTTGTACTATTGGTGGTTGCACCCATTCAGCAAAATGGTGCATTCCGGCTCTTTTTTAATGGCTAGAGCGCTGATGCTAATTATAGTGACTTGCACCCTATAAAAACCTAAGACGGACAGAGTCTCAGGTTGTCCTGTTGAATAGTCTAGCGCACGTGCATGAATAAATAATCAGCTAGGGAATTCATAGACAATGATGAAAACAATGTTTTGTACTCCTGAATATAGAGACAACAGGTGTAAATTTGTGCAGAGGTGTACTGAAGGAATCATGTAGCATATTGATATTACGTTTGGTGATTATGTGTATGTTGTGGCTTTGGCTCTTCCCTATATTAAGTCAATTTGGAAAACTAACTGCCATTAGCAGCACACCTTCAGCACACCTGTCACGTATCAGCACACAAAATTGCTCTCTAAAGGGCACAAGAACATACCACACTGTGGATTGTACTTGCTCTAAGCAAAACTAGCTATTGTCCGTTGATACAGTGTCAGTGCAGATATCAAAAGCTGGTGTAATAATCTCTATGGTGCAAATTTCCCTTCCATCATTGTCCCACAGAGCACTAGCCACCACAGAAGATCGCTGTTTGACCTAGTTCTTCTGCTTTGTTGATTCAGGATCAAGTTCTCCCGATATACCTTGCCTACTACTGCATACCTGTAATCTCATGGTGTGCTGTTCTTTGCCAGCACCCATAGCTTTGCAGTTATTGTGTTTCAGCAAGCCAATCTTGAAACACATTTCAGAAAGAAAAAGTTATTGTGTATGAATGCTGCCAGCTGGCCAGAAGCAGATACCCAGGTGCTTGTGAGATTCAATTGCATTTGTACTCTAATTAGGAAAACCTTGGATTATGACTGTATGACACAAATAGAATGTGTGGCAGAGAATCACCCATTTGGGAGAAACAACATCAAGACAAATGTAAAAGGGCCAAAGGAGCAATGCACAAAGGCCTCAGATAACTGCACCCAGTCTGGGCTACAGAGGAAAACCTGCCTTTTTTCCTAGTGAATTGGAAAGTATTTTTGGTACTCATCAATCTACAGTGTGTGAGGTACTTTGGATGGCACTGAGACTCCTAGCACCTGGGAGATCTGGAAAAGAGGAAGGACAAATATTCATCATAGCCTAATCCATGACAAGGGATTTGGGCCAGGACCACGAAATGTCTGAGACCTTACCGGGATTCCAAGACTGCTTTGGAGAAGCTCAAGATCTGGCTACAGCAGCCAAAGAGTTTGGGGTGAACTTAGGAGACAAAGGAGCACACAAGGTACATTGGATTTTATTATTTATAGCAATCAGTATTGGTTTTGCATGTTTGGGGACTGTGGGAACATGTTCTTGGGTTCTTTCAAGCATCATACTCTTACAGTGAGTGGTTATAATCTCACATGATGCTAGAAGATTCCGTTCTCCCTGGATCTGGCACCACAGTTAAGTGGTTGCTTCCTTTACATTCCCTCCCCTCCTGGTTGAACTTCTCTCGATTCTGTCAAGATGAACAAACTCACCATAATTCTCTGCTTTTGTCTACACAGCCACATGCCAAAGTAAGGGTAGGCATGTAGTGTCATCTGGCTCAGATGTCACATGACCAGACAAAATGGAGGTAAAGAAAGGAAAACCTGTTCCAAGAGTCAAACAAACTCTGAAATGTATTAAATGTAAAAGCATAAGAGCATTACAAGAAACTGTATAATGAGCAGCATGATCCCACCACGTACATGACATTGTCTCAGCCCATGTAACAGACAAAAGCATCTGTTTAGCTTTCTGCTCTTATCACACTGCAATTATATTTCATTCTGCTTTTCTATTGAATGTATGAGACCCGGGCATCAGCATTACGTGATAACAAGCTGCTCTATACTAACTGCCAGTGAGGATGTGGAATAATGACTCTGTTAAACCTCACTGCTGGCAGCCGAAAAGGTAGGACAGAAATCTAGAAGAGAAATCCATGTATTTTCACTATAATTTTCTCCAGTCCACGCAGAGTAATCCCTGAAAGTATTTTATAAAAAAATCAGTGCTCAGTCTGAGCAATTAAACTACACTCTTCAGGCCCAGAACATATATTTAGCCAGTAGAACAACTCAACTGTAGGATTATCAACTTTGCCATAATTTGTTCAAACTAAACTTTCCTGTTCTGGAATCCTCAGCACAAAGGTTCTTTCTACCCTTTATTAGTCCCATTGAACTATAGCTACCAAGCCCTACCCCTGCACACATTGTTTTCATTCCTCCTGCTTAACAATTGGTTTTAATCTGGGGGGAGAAATATTAGTGTATGTGATTATCTTAAATAGTAGTGCAGAGCATCCTGCTGTAAGTAGGCATTGGCATGAGAAAGGTACCAGAAGTTGTTACTTGTATTATATTCCTTGCTATAGACAACCCTGGAATGTCATGAATTAGCTCATTAACATTCTACTTATTTCTTATTTCAGATGGCCCGACTGAAGCCAGGCCCCGTGTGGAAATGCTGGCACATCACAGAATGGGATCACAAAGGACTGAACACTTTTTTGAAAAACAAGACCAATTTAGGCTAGAGGACAGAATATCAATTATGGAATATATCTGACATGATAGTAAAATGAAGCTGCCGCTCAAGAAGTCCACAGAAAACTTCTTCAAAGAGAATATGTGGAGAAGCAAAGGCAGCTGACATCATTCTCCCATCACCCTGTACCTATTTGCCTTGTTCAGTCACCTCAGCATGATGCTATCATACAGAACTGCAGCACCTCATACTGGACTGCCTCCTTCCTATCTGCTCCCTCTCCGGTAATTTCATGGAACACTGGTGGTGAACAGGACAACACTGGAGTATGCAGAACATGCTTTTATGGTCCTATAGCCCCATTACCCAAATCTGTGTGTGCTTGATTTGTTTTTCTCTGGTTACTCATTGAAGCCAGCTTGAATGTTTCTGGTTTTAAATAAAGTAAATGTGCATAATTTATTTCAGTGTTAAGAATCCAGAAAACATACTTTTAATTTACTCTTATTACATCACCACTCCATTATGCCATAATCTTCTTTACCAGTCTCAAGCCAATATGCGCACAAGATGAAACCCACTGCCACCAAAGGAAACAAAGACATTTAAGGGCAGCACATGCTAATACTTTAGGCTTGAAACAGGAAGAATGATCATTATCACAACCTCCTCCTCTTTACACTACCCTGGCAAGATCTTACTCATTTAGTTCACATTCCTGGTATAGCCAGCATTAACATGTGTTACAGATTCCACTGGCAGTGCTCGTCTGCCTGTGCATGAATTGCTGCAAGTATCTCATTCCACAGTCTCTTAAAACTTCCCTGTTGCTTTCACAAATTTTGTGCAGAATGCAGTGGGCAGATATGATGCCTCCTGTTGCCGTTTGCACTATCAGTGCACGTTAGAAGACATCTCTACCTTGTTTAAAGCTTTCTAAATGCACACTCCACTACCACATTGCCTCTGTCAAATCAGTCAATTAATTACTATTTCTCGTTGAGCACTGAGTAGGGCTTCATGGCCAAGGGGAGCAGTCGATTTACAGGCTCACAGAATCACAAGCTCTGGACAAGAAGATGGTCTCTTCCCCTATCTCTATCTGCTCTCAAGAGTCCAAAGTTTAAATATTTTCCTGTATCATGCACTAAAAACTTATGCTAACATCTATATGAGACAGGAATGGAAATGAATTTTCTGTTCCACAACATTTAAGACATCAAAAATGTTCCCATTCTGCTTAACAATGAACCTGACATTTTAAAATTGTTTGTCCTGGGTGTGTGGGGGTGGGGGGAGGCGAGGGGCAGAAATAGGCTGGTGGTTAGGGCCTTTTGATTATCCATGGGTAATGCAGAGATACCATATATGGCCTCTTCTACCAAACACAAGTAATTATATTTTAGGAGCTCCAGCAGAAAATTTTCTGGTTGAGCAAAGAATGAGCTCTGACATTTCAGCCTGACTTCCATTTTAAGTTTATGTCCTGATTATTGCTGAGCTTTCCAAAAATTGATGGGATTTTGACCTCTTTTCCCACAATTCTCTTGGAGTCCCAGTATGCATTTCCAAACATCCTGCAAGACAGTGCTTTAGGACACTGATACAGAAAGTGAGAGAGAGGGGCACTCAATGGGCAGCACAACTGACATCCCTGAGTACATCTGGGGTAGACCTTAACCCAAAATAAGATGGCTAACATGGACACACAACACCAATGCTCTGCACTGTGAACTCACAACAACTCCATTCTGTAGTATAAATGCAATCATGACGTGTGTGTGAATGTACAAGGTGGTCTTAGAAACGGAGAAACTTGGATAACGATATTCAGAGCTCCAAGGGGTAGAATTATTCAAACACATGGCTTCTCTCCGTTTCTACTGGTGCTCTAGAGTGACTCGCTATTTTGCTACTCCTTTCATTCGTCTTTGACCAAGGGCCAGTCTTTCTCTGGACTTACTCTAAATCAAGATAGTTTCAGAGTCATGATCCACTCCTGTAAGATGTAAGGGTACGTCTAGACTACATGGCTCCGTTGACGGAGCCATGTAGATTTGTTTGTTCGGCAAAGGGAAATAAAGCCGCGATTAAAATAATTGCGGTTTCATTTAAATTTAAATGGCTGCCCCGCTCTGCCGATCAGCTGTCTGTCGGCAAATCGGGTCAGTGTGGACGCTCCCCTGTCGACATGAAAGCCCTTTATCGACCTCCCCAGTAAACCTCATCCTACGAGGCATAATGGGGAGGTCGATAAAGGGCTTTCAGGTCGGCACGGGAGCATCCAGACTAGCGCGCTGAGCTGACAAACAGCTAATCAGCTGTTTGTCGGCTCAGCGTGGCAGCCATTTAAATGTAAATGAAGTGGCGATTATTTAAATTGCAGCTTCATTTCCCTCTGCTGATCCGCCTAATCTACATGGCTCCATCGACGGAGCCATGTAGTTTAGACACATCCTAAGAGTCCTAGTTTAACAACATACACAGCATTCTTGTATATCCTTTTCATTCTGGGCAGAAATGTCTGACAGCTCCCAAGACATGCCACTTAGCTAGAAGACTAAACTTCATAATACTTGATCTAAGTGAGTGTTTGCATCCATTAGACTTAGCTTTTACCACATTCACTAAAAGTCATGCATTCCAGTCACAAAGTCTAGCAAACTAGCTAGAGACGGAGCAGAAATTCTCACCTGGACAAGAGAGAATACTGGTGACAGCAAACTCCATCCCAGATAGGTCAGTGGCACTGCCAGAGCTTTCAACTGTGCAGTTAAAATGGTGGTTGGAAGGTTCTAAGTGTAGACATGAACCTGACCTGATGGCTCCTTTTACCAATCAAGAGCTTGAGCTGGCTATATATTGGCTGCAGCCTGACAAGGCTCCTGGTGTAGATTACATCCACGAGCTTCTCTCTTACTTTGAGCCAATTCTAAAAAATTGGCTACTTTTATTTTTGAATCATTGTACTTAGGTGCAGGGCAAAGTCTAGCTGTTCCCATGCCAGAGGAGCCACTAACAGACCCTGATCAATTTCTCTGCTCTGTGTTATTTACAAGCTGTTGGAGAGACTAATCCTGATGTGAAGTAGCAAGTTAGTTGGTCCTCAGCTTCCTTACATTCAGGGTGGAGGCAGGATGAACCCAAGAGCAGATACTCTAAAACACAGAAAATGCATGTGAGTCAGGAAAAAGAGTAGGCATAGTCCATATGGATCTGACAGCAGGCTACAACTCTGTGGCACATTAAGCTAATTGCCAAGCTGTTGCAAAATATTCCTTGTAGACTGACAGTGCAGTTCATTAAAGAAATGACCAACAATCAAAGCTACATTCTGCAAGTTGGGGAGAAAAATCAGTTACCCCACATATCTACACAACGGCCTTCCAAACGAGGGTCCATGTGGGCTCCACTTTTGTTCAATGTGACCTTCTTGAAACACAGGCCAAGAAGTACATGCTGCTATTTTGACCATATATTCCAGTGGCGGTGAAGAATTCTTCATGAAACTTAGCCAATGGCGATCATTTGCCATTTAAACAATTGCCTTGCCAATCAATTCATCTTAATCTATGTCCCAGGATGGATATTGAAATTCCCTCTAGTTATCAAACTAACATAATAGCCTCGCTTGAGACTCCTGAAAATGAAGATCTTTTCCCATGCTGCCTTGACATGAAAGCTGTTGGGAGTTTAACTTTGGTCCTTCTTCATTTGCATTGGCACTGCTGTTTGGTGTAGCTGAATAGGGCTCCATGGTCTGGAGAGCAGTTGTCACATTCAGCCTGTTGACATGAAGAATTGTATTCCTACACATTATTAGTGACAGCTTAAATTATACCCCAGCCTTCCATCTATATGTGCTAGCGCACTTAGCTCCTTCGATGACAAGCTGACATGTCTGACAAAACTAGCCTGTTACATCTCTGGCTGGCTGATGCCTTATTCTCAGACCAGAAACAACACACAGTGCTAATTCAAAGGTCATCTTATCTTTGGAGGAGGAGCACCACTCATGTGAACTAGGAATGTTGTACCCCTGCTAATCTCTTAATATCCATTTGCTGTGGAAACTCACGCACTTTTGGACAAGAGCACAATGTGCACAGGTGATCAGCATCATCAGGGAGCTGAAAACTGCATCATAGATTGTAAGCATCGGTAGGAAAGAGCACCTAACTCACTGAGTACATTCAGGAGTCCATCACTGCAGCTTCCTGTTTATATGATTATACAGCTTGGACCATCCTCAGTAGCTACTCTCTGGCTTGTATAGAGTTTCTAGAATTATATGAAAGCTTGGCC